TGGGAAAGATACCTAGAAGGGAAATATCTGGGCTGAGTGGGATTTCTAGTTTTAGGCTTCTGGGGAATCTCCGTGCTGATTTCCATAGTGGTTGGACTTGTTTACATTCCCACCTGCAGTGCCGAAGTCTTCCTTTTTCCTTCTGTCATTGCCAGCATTTGTCACTACTTTTTCTTGATGGTGGCCATTCTTTCTGAAGTAACATGGAATCTCAGTGTAGTTTGCATTTGCATTTCTCTAATGGCCAGTGATGTGGGGCGTTTTTCCCCCCATGTACTTATGGGTTGACCATTTGTATTTCTTCTGAGACCTGTCTATTTACTTCAGTGCCCCCCCTTTTTTTTTTTTTTTTATCTTTTACTCTGGGAGACGGGGAATCTTAAGTTTTTTGAGTTCTTTATATGTGGTAGATATTAGTCCTCTGAGGAATAGCTGACAAAAATGTTTCACCCTTCCTAGATCATTTCTTCTCTCTGTTTTTCCTTTGCTAGGCAGAAAATTTTTAAATTGATAGGATCCCACTTGCTGATTTTTAGCATTATTTTTTGTGCCACTGGTGTTCTGTTCAGAAAGTCCTTACCTATGTTCATGTCTTCAAGAGTTTTATCTGTTTTTATCTTCTAACAGATTGTTTGTTTTTTAATTTTTAAAATCATTTATTTATGTTTTTATTTATTTGGTACAGAGTCTCGCTATGCAGCTCTGACTCATAGTGATCTTCTTGTCTCAGCCTCCCCAGTGCTGGGATTACAGGTGTGTGCCACCATGCCCAGTTTTTGTGGCCTGCTCAGCATGTGGCCGGGAAAGCATGCGGTACTGGTGATCCAACCCGGGTCCTTGTGCTTGCCAGACAGGCACTTAGACTGCTGAGCTATCTCCCCAGTCCCAGATTGTTTCTGTTTTAACATTTAGATTTTAGATCCATTTTGATTTTAGTTTAGTACTTTGTGAGAGAATGAGTCCAGACTCAATCTTCTGCGTGTGGAAAGCCAGTTTTCTCAGCATTATTTGTTAAAGGAGGTCATATTTCTTCAAATGTATGTCTTTGGCCCCTTTGGCAAAGATGGAATAACTGGATGTGCCTGGAGTTTTCCTACAGCCTTTTTTATGTTCCATGGATCCATGTGTTGATGCTGTTTTCCCAGTACTATGCTGTTTGTTTTTTTTTTTTTTAGTTTTTATTTTTATTTATATTTATTTTTTAGCAGAACCAGGGATTGAACTCAGGCCCTTGCACTTGCCAGGGAAGCGCTTATTTCACTGAGCCATCTCCCCGGCCCCACTATACTGTTTTTATTAATACAGTCTTATAATATAATTTGAAATCTAGGATCATGATGCTATCTGCTTTGCTCTTGTTTCCCATATTTCTTTGCTATTTTGGGTCTCTTCCAGTTCCATATGAATTTTAGGATTGATCTCAGTTCTGTGAGGAGCACTATTGGTATTTAGGTTGGTGCTGTCTTCAAGCTGTATATTGGTGTTGGAAGTATGGTCGCGGCCACTTGACTGTATTGGTTCTGCCTTTCCAAGAACAGGGGACATCTTTCCATTTTTGTGATGTCTTCCTTGATTTCCTTATCACAGTTCTGTAGTTTTCATTGTCGAGGTGTTTTTCCTTCCTTGGGTAGGCTGATTCTCAAGCATTTAATTTTGCCTTTGGTTGTTTTTAAACATGTAGAGTGATAGGCAAGGATGAAATTATTTATTATTATTATTATTATTTGCATTTGCTGCAGGGTCTACAGGGTCTCACTATGTAGATTGCACTCTTAGTGATCCTCCTGTTTTCAGCTTCCCAAGTACTGGGATTATAGGCGCATACTGCCACACCCAGTCTCCATGGCCATCTCAGCACACCCCAGGGGTGGGGCTGGCACTGCATACCAAGGATCAAACCCTGGTCCCTGCATCTGCCTAAGCAGGCTCTTTAATCTGCTAAGCTATCTGGTTGGCCCTCCTTTCTACTTTTGACAGGGGACCTTGGTTATTAATAGTGAGGATAAGCTATTTCTTTAAAATATAATTCCATTTAAAGAAAAAGATAGATCTGTTTGAAGAAAGTTCTAAAAAACATAATAAAATACATGATACGTAACTATGGAAAATTGTGAAGTTTGTTAGATCGATGACAGAAGCTTGAAAGTGTTGGGCTAATGCCAGGTACGACTAATTTTTTAGATTCATGGTCTTTTCTTTGAAACTGTTAGGACCAGATTTGTTTCGAAATTCAGCACTTTCCGATCTTTTTTTGGTTGGGGTCTTTGTATGTGACATACAGTGGGCAGTGCCCCCTTAGCAGGGTGTTGCTGGTGCGGCACAGGTATGAGTGTCCTCTCTAATGGGGTAAAAATCGCTGAGGCATGAACTCAGTTTTCACTCTTATCAAGTATGCTTTAGAACCCAAATAAGGAAAACTGTGTTTTCCAGAGTTTTCTGCATTTCAGAGTTTTAGCTATGGGATTGTGTACCTGTCTTGGTAACTCAATGCCATCACTTTTAAAAACCTCTAATCAGTTCATGCACAGAACAAAATCCCATTCCAACTTAGACAAAGTACCCAGACATTGTCATCTTACATTTTATCTTACTGGTTGGACATGATCTTTGTATAGATTCTGCTCTACCTTCCAGGGCAGGTAGACTTGTCTGGGAAGAAAAGCCGAATCCAAGCCTTTCACCTGTATATATTGGTTTTGCTTAGCTCTAAAGTAGGTGGTCAGTGTGTTTTGGTCATTAAGAACAATGCCATTGGGTGACTGTCCAGTACATCCCCTGGGACAGCATAGTCTGGGGAACTGTTTAATTTGATTCTGCATTTTAAATATGAAGTCCATCCCTTGCTGCAGGGACCTGGTTGAATATCTTGTTGGCTCTTAGGTCAGTGTAGTTATCAGTGAGGTTCTAAGTGGGCAGGGATTGAAGAGGGGAAGGAGCATATCCCTACATGTGGTGGCTGAAGTGCCAGGTGTGTCACAATCTCTGAAAGTGTGACCCCAGAAAGCAGTGAAGGTGGGTTAATTAACACTTTAGGGATCCATGCTTATGACTGTTTTAAAAAACCTTGTGTAAAATGACACATGAGCGAGTATTTCTTACTTCAGAGCACACTGAAAGCGTTTTGTCAGTTCTTGATTTATAGCCTTTGGAGCCTTGCTTTCTTTTGGGGTAATTAGGATGAAGATGTATAGGAACTGCTCGTGAAGGTTATGCTTGTGAAGTACTTGTGGACTTTGTATGGGACCTTGCTAGCTATTTAAATAAGTTAATAAAACAATACCTTGTGCATGTAAGGAGAAAATGTTTTCACTTATTTTATGCAATTTCTTGAGAAGCTTAATAAAAATTGCCTTTCTGGAGGGATAAGTCAGTTTGGATTTAGACTCTGAAGCCAGGGCTGTTTGGTTTATACAATATGTGCATCTTTGCAACTTTTATATCAGCCAGGACTTTCTATGAAAGAACAAAATGTGTAATTATTGTGCGTCTGTGCTCTTTTTCATTTCCTGATCCACCCATGGGCTCACCTTCTTTTATGTTATAGGCCAGAGGCAGCAGAACTTGGACCATTTCTGATGGCATGGGGGCAATGCTGTCCTTTTTGTACCAGTTTAAGAAAATTTCTTAGGATATGGGGATGCTTTGGAAGTGACATTGAATTTACCCTATTAAGTCATTTGCAGACTGACAGTTGTTTTGTTTTGTTTTGTTTTTTCCCCCAGAACTGAGGATTGAACTCAGGGCCCTTGAGCTTGCCCAGCAAGTGCTTATTCTATGATTGTTCCTTATTAGTACAACACACTATGATTAGTATCAAAGTCTTGTACCTCTTATGGAACATGCTTGAAAATTATTGCTCTTAATAATAACAAAAACCATGATAGCATCAAGCGCGTGGTGTCACTTGCTTTGTGTATCTGAAATCCTTTTCTTCTCATGACTACCCTAGGAGGAAAGCACACTAGTAACCCAACTTCTGTAGGTGAAGAAGCTCTGTGTGGATGCTGGAGATTGAATAAATGAGTCAGAGTTGCAGGAAACAAGGCCTTCTGGGATGAATATGCGTTACTACCTTCAACTGTTTATTCTCTACAAATACAACACTTCTACTTTCCAGGACTCAGTTGTAAGCATGTGTCTTGCAGGCACTGCAGAGCCGGATCTGCAAGGCACCAGATCTGCTAACTAACATGAACTTGAGCACAACCATTACTGTGCCCATGTGGTAGATAAAAAGACTCAAAGATTGATTTGGGTTGGGGAGATAGCTCAGTAGAATATGCGCTTGCCTGGCAAGTGCAAGGGCCTGAGTGCAATCCCAAATGCTTAAAAAAAAAAACAAAACCAAAAAAATCAAAAAACAAAAAACAAACAAACAAATCTAATAAGATTGATTTAATATGTTGGAACTCTAAGGAAAAGATCTAACATTTTACATAGACCCCTAATGACAGGGCAAGTGGGCATGAATTTATCTCTCTAGAGCTGTACATTCAGCGTCATGCTGAGACGACCGAGTTTTACAGGTAGAAGAGACTTGCATGTAGGCCTTAAAATATGGAGACAGCAAAATGCCAACTTTTCCCCCAAAGAAAATGATTTTTATTGGCACATTTAAGGTATTCATAATGATCCCATTTATCATAAGGGATTTGTAGCTGTATGTGATATAACTTGATTTTTTTTCTCCATTCCCATACCCTCTCTTCAACTCTTCTTCCCCTCCTTACTTACAAGTGTTTCTATTTTTCCCTGTTTTCATTTAAAAGTTTTTCCCTTCCTTCCTTTCCCCCACCCAGCAGGTAGGAGGCTGATACAGGAGTATCGCTGTGAGTTCAAGGCCAGCCTCAGCTACACAGTGAAACTTTGCCCCTACTACCAAGGCCAACTTAAAAAATACGCTTGATTTCCACCCCGCTTAGGGCTTGACTAAGAAGATAAAGCTTGACTGTAAAGTAAATTCCTTCGCTTTTATTTATCCTGTTTCCATTTTCCTCCAGGTCGCTCCTGTGATGTCCTCAGGAAGCCCGCACATCCCCCAGTGCTCCCTGCTGCAGGCCAGCTCCCGGATGTACTAAATGGGGGTGAAGAGGTCTACGCCAACTGCATCGTGGTAGATCAGGTGAGGCACCACTGCCCTTGGCCTCCTTCTAAAACCCGGATGTGTGTGCGTGATGCATCCAGTGCTGCCTACGAGTCCCTGCTCACCAGCTTGGAACTTGGGTCCTTATGTGAGCACACATGCTTGCCTCACTGAGAGGTGAATTAAGGGCCGATCCTAAGACACTGATGGATGAGAGGGCACTGAAAGTTCTTTAGTGGCTCCAAAATAGGAAGTGACAATGCAGGGCCAGTATCTCATGCATGGCTTGTGAATGAGCCCTGTCTGCATGGCTTCACCGGGCAGCATTGGTATGCACCTCCACCAAACAGTAAGGGAAAGTACCTGTTCCCCTATGGGAATGGCTGTGTTGACAGGTCCTAAGGCTGTGATACTTTAGTATTATAACAGAATGGTACCATTCTGGGGAAGCTGGAATCTTCTAGAATGTTCTGCTTGCTCCCTGGTAGAGACCTGCGAGTTAAATTTCATAGAGGCAGAGAGAGAAAGGGAGGGAAGAGAAAGATTGAGAGACATACAGAGACAGAGACAGAGAGAGACAGAGAGAGAGAGAGAGAGAGAGAGAGAGAGAGAGAGAGAGAGACAGGCAGAGACAGAAAGACAGAGAGAGACAGAGACAGAGAGAAAGACATAGAGACAAAGAATTTGAATGTTCCAGCATCTAATTAGCTTTTGTTCTTCCCTCTGTGTTCTTCAAGTTTTCATATTTGTAAAAATTAAAATATAGATCTGAATCTTTGCCCAATCTAATTTATGACAGGTTTTCATAGACAATTGTGACACATGATTTTTGCCTTATCTACTAACTTGAAAACCTGTTCCCCGTATAAAACACATGATAGGTGCTAAGTGGGCAATAGGCATTATATCTTGTTGTTGTTAACATACTTAGATATTCTTTTCAGTGTAATTTTACTTTTTATTCATGCTAAAAATTAAAAGTGAAAATGGTAAATCTGATAAAATTCAGGTGATATTTCCATAGCATAATTTTATTTATTATTTATTTTGGCAGAATTGGGGATTGAACTCAGGCCCTTAGGCTTGCCAGGCAAGCACTTATTCTACTGAGCCATCTCTCCAGCCTCCATAGCGTAATTTTAAAAATACAAATATCAATTTTAACACCTGAGATCACACTTCAGTTGACATGAGTTTCATCATCTATACAAAAAAATTCACCTTGACCTTTAAAACATATAAAGGTTAAAAGGTTTACAATATTTTTGTGGTCAAATTTAAAAATATTTGGTGGTCAAAGAAAGATATATAGTAGAAGTTGTAAGGCAGTTTTATATTTTCATAGGTTAAATGTGAAGTCACATCTATTAAATGAGATGAGTTGTTAAGACAAAATAGGGAAAGCTCCAGAAAAATTGTTTTCTATTTTCTAGTAGATCTCAATTTCAGCCTTTCACCAAATAACTCTACTTTTTTCCTTTCGTGTTACAAAGCATTATAAGAATAATTGTAAAGTATAAATGACGGAGATTGAGGTGGAATTCAGAATGACAGAGGAGCTAATCAATCACAAGTGACCTCAGTTGTGAGTAACTGGTAGCGTTGTCTTGGTATAAGCCGGTTGAATAGCAGCCCTGGTTGTAAAAATCTAGGTTGAGGCATGGGACAAGGCGGTACTTCGGGAGACAGTCTTCCGGGGGCGGGATAGTTGGGCTTCCTGTGCTGTCGCTCCATTCTGACACGTGCATGTGTGTACATATAGAGAGCGTGTGTGCAGCCGTAGCTTGGTGCTGGACTGTGTTGGCACTCCTCGAATTTGTACTCAATGCATTTTGATGGAAAAGCTATGTCTCGGTACTTGTCGCTTGTTTGATACTTGACGCACAAGGTTGAACTTGGGATACTGATCAACCTGTGACTCCCTACTCTTTCCACCTAAAGCAATTTGTTTGGTAAACATCACTTTTGGTACTTGTGTTTCCAGGAACCAATAAACACCGAGGACTGAAATATCACTTTATGCACATACACGTGGTTTATTGTTTCATTAACTTATGATAATATATTATTATTTACTTTGAAGCTTTTCAAAGTATAGTTAACAATAATACATGTATTTAAGGTATGCAGTATGGCATTCCCATATACTTTTTTTATGTGTATATGTGTAGGGGGTACTGGGGATCAAACTCAGGACCTTGCACTTGCCAGGCAGGCACTTGTGCCACTAAGCTATCTCCCCAGCCCTGATATACATTGTTGAACATGACCGCAATGAAGCTTATTGTTATCTCTTGCTACTGTGAGAATACTCAAGATTCACTCTCAACAAATTTCAAATACACAATGCATTATTGTTCATCAAGCCCACCTCCTGGCCCTCTGGCTTCCACTGACTCGCTGTGGGACTGAAAGCTAGTGCCCTTTGCCCAGCAGCTGCCCATTTCTCTCGTCCACTCACCCTTGTGTTCACTGTTCCTATGAATATTAATTTTTAAAATTGCATATATAAGTGAAATCCTGCAATATTTGTCTTTCTGTGTTTGGCTTGTTTTAATTAGCAAAATGTCCATCAAGTTTATTCATATTAGGGCTGGGAATATAGCTCAGTGGTCTAAGTGCCTGCCTGGCAAGCACAAGGACCCAGGTTCTCTCCCCAGCAGTGCATGTTGTGCTGGCCATTGGAACCAGGCTTGGTGGCACATGCTTGTAATCCCAGTGCTGGGAAGGCTGAGACAGGAGGTTCACTACAAGTCTGAGCTGTGTAGCAAGACCCTATACCAAATAAATAAATAAAGTTTTGAAAATGTTTTTAAAAAAAGTTTATTCACATTGTCACAAAGACATGATTCTTCATTTTTCTTTTTAAAGCTGAATTCCCCACCTACGCCCTTGTAATGACCCACATGTGCCATATATATATGGATTTTAATCAGTTCAGCGGTTGATGGGCAGAGGTTGAGTCTACATCTTGGCTGTTGTCCATAGTGCTGACATGAACAGGACAGCGTGGACACCTCCTGGGGAGAATGGCTGTTTCCTTCACCCACGTACCCAGCAGTGGGATCGGTGGATCATATGATGGTTACAGTTTAGTGTTTTGAGAAAGCCCCATGCTGCTGTACACAGTACAGTGCCGACCTCCATTCCCACCCACATGTGTCAGGGCTCCCTTTTCTCCACATCCTCACCAACACTGCTTTTTTGACTTTTTGATAACAGCCCTCCTGACAGGTATAAGGTGATGTTTCATTGTGATTTTATTTGCATTTGCCTGATGATTAGTAATGGCATTCACGGTTCCATGTATCTGGTGACCACTCATTTGCTGGATTTAAAATTCGATTGTCTGTTTTCATTTTACACTGGAGTTATATGAGTTCTTTGTAGACTCTGGCTATCAGATCCTTATCAGATAAATGATTTGTAGGTCTTTTATCTCATTTCAGAGGAATTCTTTTGCCAAGCCTTTTCTTCACCTGGTAGAGACTCTTGTTTGATGCAGTCCTGCTTATTTATTTTGCTCTTCTTAGCCTATGTTTTGGCATTGTTTTCTTTTTTTTTTTTTAAACATTTTTATTTAGAAATTACCAGAATCTTTTTCTTTTAAACATTTTTTTTTTGTGTGTGTGTGTGTGTGTGGCCAGCTCAGCCCACCAGGGGGCAGGGCTGGCTGGCATGTGGTGCTGGGGGATCGAACCGCGGTCCCTGTGCTTTGTGAAGTTTGTTCCAAGTAGGTGCTTTAGACCACTGAGCCATCTCACCAGCCCTTGGCATTGTTTTCTATTGCTGCCAAAACCAATGTCACAGCTTTTCTCCTGTGCTTTTTTATTCTATGATTTTTTTTTTTAAATTAATTAATTTATTTATTTAGTGTGCGGCCAGCTCAGCCCACCAGGGGGCGGGGCTGGCTGGTATGTGGTGCTGGGGATTGAACTGCGGTCCCTGTGCTTTTGTTTAGCTTAGCTTGTTCTAAGCAGGTGCTTTAGACCACTGAGCCATCTCACCAGCCCCTTTCCTATGAATTTTATGGTACAATCCCTCTCTTACCTGGGATGGAATCTAGGGCCAAGTGCACCCCCTTCTCCCGCGCTCTGCCTGCAGCCCCTGACCCCACTTTGCGTGGTGTTGCGCAGTTTCTTATTACTGCCTTATTCCCCAGGAGCGAAGACTTTCCATGACCCGCACCTCCGATCACAAGTGCCTTTCAACCTCTCTTCAGGAGTGAGTGTCTCGCTCAGTCAGGACCGCTCCTGTGTGCCAGCTTCTTTCTGCTGAGGGGTGTTAGCTAAGTCTTGGGACTTTCACTAGCTGCCTGTTTATTCCCTTTCATCAGACGCTTCCTCTTTGCAGTGGGCAGATGAGGCGCTGCTTGTAGACTTGATGGTATTTTAGTACTTACTGGTAGTGTGAAGATTGAGGAATTTCCGGTTCTCTCATTCTGCAATTTGGATGTATATTGCATTGATTCATTTTTTAAATTTTTCTTTGGTGGTGATGTTGGTCAGATTTAAGTGACCACCATCACCTTGTTTACCTAGATTTGGATGAACTATTTTTTTTTTTTTTAAACCTGTGTGTTCTTTCTTTTAATCAAGTATTTAAAATATTTCCCCTCATTTTGGGTATTCATAAAAATATTAAAAACATAGCCAATTTCTTTTCTTTTTAAGAAGATTTATGTATTGTGGCTCAGTGGATTAAAGCACCTGCAAGCAGGCACAGGGATGGGGGGGTTGATCCCTGGACCTGCCTTCCAGACCCACCCCCTGGGGCATCTTGAGACTCAGCGTGGTAGCAATTGAGACTTGGCCTGTAATCTCAGCTCTTGGGAGACTGTAAACAGGAGGATCACTATAAATCCAATCTAATAGTGAGACCCTAAACACCCTGTAGACCTTTCCCTAAAAATTAAAAAAAAAAAAATTTTTTTTTGTGTTTGGTACAAGATCTCACTATGCAACCTGGACTTACAGTGACTCTCCAGTTTTCAGCCTCCCCAGCATTGGAATTACAGGCCTGGCCACCACGCCTGGACTTGACGGTTGCTAGGGGTGGGGCCAGTGCAGTAGTTGGTGCCAGAGGTCCAACCCTGGTCCCCGCGCTTGTCCAGAAAGGCGCTTAGTCCACTAAACTATCTCGCCGGGCCTAGTTTTTTGTTTTTGTGATATAAAACAAGTTTATGAAACAGTTTTCTTCTTTTTTTGGTGAATTGTAGGCTAGCAATCACATGGACAAAAATAGATCTCTGTTTATAGAAAACAAGCTAAGAACAAGCACAACAAAAAAGATAAATGAGGTGGATGGATTTTATTTTATTTTTTTACTTTATTTTATTTTTTGGCGGAACCGGGGATTGAACTCATACCCTTGTGCTTGCCAGGGAAGCACTTATTCCACTGAGCCATCTCCCCAGCCCCAAATATTTGGGTTTTTTCCCTTTTTTTTGTATTTTAGGGAAGGGTCTACAGGGTGTTCAGGGTCTCACTACTAGATCGGACTTGTAGTGATCTGCCTGTTTACAATCTCCCAAGAGCTGGGATTACAGGCACGCGCCACCACACCCAGGCTCAATTGCCCTCTCAGTGTGCCCCAGGGGCGGGGCCGGCACAGCCAGCATGGCAGGCCCTGGGATAGAACCCTGGTCCCTGTGCCTTCTTGCAGGTGCTTTAATCCGCTGTGCTATTTGGCCAGCCCTGTGGATGGATTTTAAATGAATAGATTTTAAATTAACTTATAGCCAAGTCACTCCTTCTGGCTTTTCCTCAGCAAACACCTTTCTCTCCACTTTCAGGCTGGTGAGTTGGATATCAACTATATTAACCTCGAAGGGCTCTCCACCCACGCAGGAGCCGACCCCATGGGCTCCAACCTGGGCTCCCACAGCTGCGAGCACCTGGAGCACCTGGTTCCTGCTCACACTCGCGCCATCCTGTGCTCGCTCAGGGAGAACGGTGACCCGGCCCTGCACCCCGAAGCCATGCAGTGTGTCCCGCCGCCGACTGGGGCTGGCCCTTGCAACTTGAATCTTTCTTTTGGTCTTCATGGGTTTGTAATGGAACAAAGTCCTCTGAAGAAGAGAAGGTAAGATGCCCTATTCTAATGGAATCTTGCAGAAAAATCAAAGAAGTTTGTAGCTGGATTGGGAAAATTGTATTTTTGGTCATTTATTGTCTCCCATGCTGTTATTTCTACATCAAAATGTTTCTTCTTTTTATTTCCTATAGTGATTTTAAGCTAAGGCATTTAAAAAAAAAATTATTGTACCAGGAATCAAAGCACTTGCCAGGCAGGTGCTTATGCAGCTGAGCTGTTTCCTTGGCCCTAAGCTAAGGCATTTAAGAAAACTGACTAGGGCCGACTAAGTGCCTGCTTAGGCAAGCGCAGGGACCAGGGTTGGATATATGGACCAAATGCCTCGCTGGCCCCACCCCAGGTGCACTGAGCCGGCCACCGAGTCTGGGTGTGGTGGTGCGCGCCTGTAATTTGAGGGCTGGGGAGGCTAAAACAGGAGGCTCAGAGGTAGGAGCTGTGTAGTGAGACCCTGTATCAAATATATAAAATAAATAAACGAATAAACAAATAAATAGGCAACTGAAATATCACAGAGGAAAAACACAGTGAGATCCTATTTTGCACTTATTATGCTGACAGAGATTAAAAAGTTTCTTCCCACGTTTTGATGAGCGTGCGTACAAGGGAAGCTCCGAAAGGAAAGAAAATTGTGTGTGAGAGCTTAGGAAAAGAGTTTGACATCATCCTGTAGAGTCCAATATGTATTTCTCTACCGTGTGCAAGTAGACACATAGATGTTTATTTATAGCAACAGGAAATAACTCAAATGGGGCATAGCTAATTCTGTCCAGTTTTAAATTATATGTATGGCATACATTAATGGCAGACCTCGACCTGTGTAATAATTTGGGTTTCAGGAGGATGAACAGAAAGTAAGCCATAAAGGATGGCTAGATTAGATTAGCTTCGGTTAGATTTCATTCTCATGCAACGCATAATAGGGCGCATACACATGTCAGTTAGCAAGAAATGCAGAATTGCAATAGAGCGGAGAAGTGGAGGGCTAACAGTGGATTGGCTGGTAAGAGTTTGGGCAGGATGATGAACGTTCAAGTGAGGCTGGTGGGCTCTTGAGGGTTTGATTTTTCCCTTCTGTAACTTCTAGTTATGTGTGTTTTCTCATATATATAAAAACACATTTAAATAAGAACTTCATTGTATGTGTGGTTATATATATTTGCATATGTACCTGTATATGTCCATCCACCTTGTTGTCTGAATAACCCAATTTCCACTTACCTTAGATATTTATTTCTCCCTCATGTCCTGACTGCATGATTATCTGTCTTATTCTCACACCTAAAATCATGAATCAGGGACCAGGGATGTAGCTCTGCAGGTTAAGTGGCTGCCTGGCAAGTGCAAGGTTTGGAGTTCAATCCCTGGTACCGCAAAAAAATAAATTAATTAATTAAATAAAATAAAATTTATAGGGGCTGGTGAGATGGCTCAGTGGTCAAAAGCACCAACTCAGAACAAGCTTAGCAAAAGCACAGGGACCGCAGTTCAATCCCCCAGCACCACAGGCCAGCCAGCCCCGCCCCCTGGTGGGCTGAGCTGGACTCACACACCCACACACACACACAAATAAATAAAAAATTTTAAAAATTATAAGAAATATGTGTTCAGGGGCTGGCGAGATGGCTCAGTGGTCTAAAGCACCTACTTAGAACAAGCTTAGCAAAGCACAGGACTGCGGTTCAGTCCCCCAGCACCACATGCCAGCTAGCCCCCTGGTGGGCTGAGCTGCCCCCCCCACATACACATAAATAAATAAATTTAAAAAAAAAAGAAATATGTGTTCATCTTACAGACCACTCAAAACAAGCTACTTGCATTCCAGGGTTTTACTGTATTGGAAAAGAGAATTCAATAAATAATAAAAGATATAATATATTATGACCAAGTAGAAGTCATTCCACAGATGTAGGGATGTTTCAACATACACAAATCAATACATCACATAAACAGAAGAAAAGACAAAAATCACATCTCGATAGACAATAAAAAATCATTTGACAAAACACAACATCAATTCATCAATGATAAAACATCTAAATAAAAATATAAGGGCCGGCCAAATAGCTTAGCAGGTTAAGGCACCTGCAAGCAGGCATAAGGGCCAGGTGTTAGACCCCTGGGCCTGCCATGCCAGCCCTGCCCCTGGGACGTGCTGAGATGGCAATTGAGACTAGGTGTGGTGACATACACACCTGTAATCCCAGCTCTTGGTAGGCTGTAAACAGGCGGATTACTATAAATCCATTCTAGTAGTGAGACCCTGAACAATATATA